CAAATGGGAGACTGTGACAAAAGACAGACAAGTTGACAAATAGGACACACAGTCACATTATATTCCCACATTGCATCCTGGCTTCCTCCCCTCTGCCTTGGAGATAATTGAGAAGTAATTCAATTATCTCCCAAGACAAAGGCAAATCGCCATTATGCACGTGGGGATACTAAAACACGAATTACTGTTAAAATACACTATGTAAGACACATTACAATAACCTTATATATTTAACATGTCCCCAGATAGCTCAGGTCTGAGCGCACATTATTAAGCGAATGGCGCTCAGACCACACAAATACAGTTTAATCGCCATGGAGCTAAAGTCTTTACACAGTCAGTTTCATGTGAATGGGCTTCATGGGATTCCTATCTGAGGTATAACATATTCCAGTAAAACTACCGAACGCCGTGCCGTTCGTGCACTTTCACCGACCAAGAAGGGAGGTCGGCGGCTTCAGCGGTGTTTGCGCAAAACTGTGTCCGATTTCAGTTCCATGAATTAAGCGTCGAACACCGCTGTGCATTCGCATGTTTAAAATGGCCGCGACCTCGTGTTCGTGATACGAATGGCGGACACCCAGCATTCGTCAATTAAGCTGCGGTTAACTGCAGCTTCAGGGAGGCTAATTGCCGGCACACTCCAGCTCCCAGGTGGTCCAGTCATTCGTGCGGTTGTTCGGTAGATTAAATCTACCGAACACCAGCAGAAAAGCACGAATAAAGCTTTTCTGCAGGCGAAACAAAGTCTTTTAACATGGGGGCCATAGTCCAAAGGCAGCAGGCGAGCAACCAGGCTTCTCCAATGCAATGTGGCGAGATTGGTCTCGTCACAATAGATATATATATTATTTCGTTCTACATGTATTTTTATATAAATATATATATTAATATCACAATACAGTTAGAACAAAATAACACACATCTATATATTTTTTAATTATTTATTTTTAATTATTTTTTTAATTTTATTTTTTTACGTATTTACATTTTTTTTAATATTATATATAAATATATATAACAATAATTATATATATATGTGGCGGAACCAACCTCGCCACTATGCACTGGAGAAGCCTGGTTGCCAGCCTCCTGCCATGTGACTATGGCCCCTGGGATGTATTGCCCTTTAAAGACATGATTTGGGCATAATGGATTTGTGTTGTGCTGCTGCTGGCCCTTTAAGAACCATCTGGGGACATACTGTGGAGTTACTGGGTGGCCACCATTTCCTGTATCAGAAGCACATGGTGAGAACAATGGATGGCGGCCATTTTAACTCACAGACACTGTTTGGACTTTTCAACACGGTGCCATCTCGCCAGTATTTGGTGCACAGAGACATCGTGCAGTGGTTTTGGACTATACAGCAGGGGACACATTATACAGTGATTGTTTTTTATTTAGCCTGTATATGTTCTGCAGAATCTGCATTAAACTGTATTTTCCAAAGTACTGAACGGATCTGGGTGAATTTTGGATATGTGGTTCACCCAGATCCCCCAGTTCCAAGGATATATTATGGGGTTATTGCATGTTTTGGGGTCCCTGTGATGTGTTTTATGAAACTGTATTTCTCTGGCTGTGATAATTAGATTACCCATTGTGTTCAGTAATCATATCACAGCCAGAGGGGAGGATTTTGTGTGGGAGTGTCTGGGTGTATTGTATGGATTGATTGGCTGTTTTGTAATGCCCTGTGGGCTGTACTATGTTTGTGGATTGGGAATAAAAGAGACTGTATGTGACAGTACAGAAAGTTCCTGTTTTAACCCTCAAAGTGAAGTGTCGTCTCATTATTGGGGGATGGATTTATTGTATACTGTTCCAGTTTGACTGCTAGGAGAGTAAACCTATTCGTATGGTTCCTATTCAACTGTCTACAGCATTCATATGTTTGAGAGCATTCACATGCTCCTACGGTTCGGTGGTTTTGGTGTCTGCTGCAGTGCTTGGAGTCCTCAGGAAGTGCTAGGAGCATCCTTCAACGGAGGTACCCAGTCGGGGTGCCAGGTGATCCGTTACAATATATATATATATTTAATCAGTATCAGTCTACGTGTAATTTGATATTAATATATATATATAAAATTATATATATATTAATAGTAAAATACACCTAGACAGTGTATGTGTGTGTATGTATATGTGTATATATATATATGTACTTAGATCATATATATATATGATCTAAGCAGGGCTGGACTGGGAATTAAAAGCAGCCCTGGAAAAAAAATATTTACCAGCCCCATAATGCGTCGCGCCAGCATAGTGTGCGGATACAGAGTTAGAACAGATAACTTAAAATGAAAAAGTACTTCAACGTAAAAAGCGCACTCATAGGCTTAAAAATAAACAAAAGTGCAGATTTATTTTAAGCAGACGTGCCTTTGCATGTAATCAATGTTTCAGTCCAACTACCTTGACATATTAAGGAAAGCTTGTTAATGGGACTGAAATGGTGAATGTATGTAGGGCACAACTGAAATTTTTTTATTTTGAAGTCCTGTGGGTGTGCTCTTTACTTTAAATATGTTATTGTGCTGGAGTATGCACCAAGCAACAAGACTGCGCCAATATCTGCTCATTACATATGGTACATATTAATGAAATTTCTCTGTGTATTATGCATTTATAAATGTACATTAATATGTGTAAATATAATATATATATATATATATATATATATATAACTAATACACACATTAATATACATGTCATATACTAGTGGCGGATCCAGAGCCTGAGCCTGAGAGGGGCACTTGTAGATTGTTTAAAGAAATATTCCATGCACAATAACCACTACTCCTCTGTGTAGTGGTTATGGTGCCAGGAGCGTCGGCACCCCCTCCCAGAGTAAGTCTTCAAACCGTTTAAGAACAGTTTGACAACTTACCTGGAGTCTGCTGGGATATGGGGCTGTAGTAGGGTATAGGAGTGGTGCAATGTGTGTGAAAGGTTCAGTGTGTGGATGGGCAGTGTGTAAATGTGTATGGTGTGTGTGTGGGGGCAGTGTGTGAATGTGTATGGTGTGTGTGTGTGTGCAGTGGCGTACACATGACCCATGGGGCCCCGGTGTGAAAATTGATCCATGGGCCCCCCCCCGCGCTTATTTGGCGCGGGTCAGGGCCGCAACATATGGCGGCGGGCACCTGGTTGCAGGGGTTGCAGGGCTGCGACCCCATGACCGCGGTATGCACACACACTTAAAGGACCACTACAGACACCCAGATCACATCAGCTCAATGAAGTGGTCTGGGTGCCATGTCCCTCTAGTTTTAACCCTGCAGCTGAAAACATAGCCGTTTCAGAGAAACGGCTATGTTTCACTGAGGATTAATCCAGCCTCTGGTGGCTGTCTCATTGACAGCCGCTAGAGGCTTCCTTGACGTCCATAGGAAAGCATTGAGTAATGCTTTCCTATGGTGATTCTTGCAGCCTCTTGCGGCGCATGTGCGTCCAGTGTGGACACTGGGGAGTCCACGGCGCTGGAAAAAGGTAAATGCTGAAGACACACACTCTCACGAACAGACGCATACACACTAGCTAACAGACACACACATTTACTGACAGAGACACACTCAGCGACAGACATACATACACACTCACTTACAAAACATACACTTTCACTGACAAACACACACTATCAGACATCAAACACACTCAGTAACAGACACACACAGTAACACACTCACTAGCAGACACACACACTAACACACACACACACTAACACACACACACTAACACATTTTTTTTTTAAATGTAATCCCCCCAGCCTCCTTACCTTTTGGAGTGCTGGGGGGATTCCCTGAGGTCCAGTGGTGCTGCTGGGCTCCTGGGCGGCCGGCTGTCTGGGCGGGCAGCCGGTCACTGGGCAGGCGGCCGGCCGGCGCGCGAGGGAGCACTCTCTGTGTGCTTCTTCTTCAGCTCCCTCGCGCACCGCATAGGGATGCCGGAGCCGGAAGATGATGTCATCTTCCGGCTCCGGCATCAGTGCGGTGCGCGAGGGAGCTGAAGAAGAAGCACGCAGAGAGTGCTCCCTCGCGCGCCGGCCGCCCGCCCAGACTGCTCCTGTCACTGCTGTGGCTGCCGGACCGGGGAAGCTGCCACCCGGCCCGGCGGCTCCAGCCAGGAATGCGGCCGGCCCCCAGGTGCCGCGGCCCACCGGGAAATTTCCCAGTATCCCGGTGGGCCAGTCCGGCCCTGGATCTAAGTATATAATTTATTTATTTTTACACTTTTAATTTCATTTTATTTTATTTCCAGCAGGGGGACCACCTGTCATTACAGGCAGTCCCCCTGATGGCAATACAGAAGCCAGCTAAGCCGGCCATGTGATTGTGAGGTCCTCGCAAGGACCTCACTCTCACATGGCCGGGGGGCTGCCATGGGGTCGGATGTGCTGTGGGGGGGTGTACTATTACGCCCAGCGGCGTTAGAGCTGCTTAAAATAGGACGTAATAGTACTCCTTCCGTCGTTAAGGGGTTAAGTAGATGTACGTTTGCATGTAATCAATGTTTCCCTACAACTACTTTGGCCTATTAAGGACATTTTAGTAATGGTACTGAAATGCTGAATGTCTGCAGTTGCACAACTAAAACAAAAAGTGATCTGGTTAATTTTGAAGTTCTATGGGTGCGCTCTTCACTTTGAATATGTTATTGTGCATGAGAATGCAACTAGCAACAAGACTGGGCCAATACGTGCTCATTACATATATATATATATATTAATGACATTTCTGTGTGTATTATGCGTATATAAATGTATATTACTATATGTGTAAATATTATAGGCATAATTATATGTTACTAATACACACATCAATATACATGCATATATATATGTGTGCATGACAGTCGCACAGTCGGATTTGCCGGCATATGCGCTAACCTTACCCAAACCCCCATTAAAACACGGACACAGGTTATACTGTTGGAAATAATTTGTCCACAGCTTTATTAAATTATTAATAAATAATTAAGGAATAAAAAATGGGGTCATTGCCAACAAATCTTAATAATGTTAACCTCCCCCATATACATAACATACCCCTAGCAATGACCCCACAATAATAACAATAGATAACAATCTAAATAACATGTTAACACAGAAACTGGCCGTCCAATTTGACCACATTTCCACCAGGTTAAATTGTAGGGGTGTACCGAGACACCGCTACCCACCATATCGATTGTAGGGGTGTACCAAGACACCGCTACCCACCATATCCATTGTAGGGGTGTACCAAGACACCGCTACCCACCATATCCATTGTAGGGGTGTACCAAGACACCGCTACCCACCATATCCATTGTAGGGGTGTACCGAGACACTGCTACCCACCATATCAATTGTAGGGGTGTACCAAGACACTGCTACCCACCAGTTCCAGTGTAGGGTGTACCAAGACACCACCACACCCCCAGGTTCGGAGCCACCGACGGGCTCGAACCTACCAACCACGTGCAACACTGCCCAATCCACACTAAACCTCAGGATGCCCACTTTCTCCTCCATCTACCCTCCGATTTAACCAGGCCATTCCCCGCCGCTGTGAAAAAACGGGAAATCAACTAACCTAACCAAATACAGGGAGGGTGGGAGGGACAACTGACAGGTAAGCTTAGGTTCAGTTAAAATGGCCACTTCATATAATGGCTGGTATAAATACTCCCCTTATGGCTCCGCCCTACTCAGCATGCTAGCTGTCACTAACTCCCTGTGGCTGCTATGCCTACCTCCTGGCTCTGTCAAGGCCTATTCCTCTTAGCTGCGCTGATCCATGGGCTACATGACAGGCGCACAGTCGGATTTGCCGGCATATGCGCTAACCTTACCCAAACCCCCATTAAAACACGGACACAGGTTATACTGTTGGAAATAATTTGTCCACAGCTTTATTAAATTATTAATAAATAATTAAGGAATAACAAATGGGGTCGTTGCCAACAAATCTTAATAATGTTAACCTCCCCCATATACATAACATACCCCTAGCAATGACCCCACAATAATAACAATAGATAACAATCTAAATAACATGTTAACACAGAAACTGGCCGTCCAATTTGACCACATTTCCACCAGGTTAAATAGTAGGGGTGTACCGAGACACCGCTACCCACCATATCCATTGTAGGGGTGTACCAAGACACCGCTACCCACCATATCCATTGTAGGGGTGTACCAAGACACCGCTACCCACCATATCCATTGTAGGGGTGTACCAAGACACCGCTACCCACCATATCCATTGTAGGGGTGTACCAAGACACCGCTACCCACCAGTTCCAGTGTAGGGTGTACCAAGACACCACCACACCCCCAGGTTCGGAGCCACCGACGGGCTCGAACCTACCAATCACGTGCAACACTGCCCAATCCACACTAAACCTCAGGATGCCCACTTTCTCCTCCATCTACCCTCCGATTTAACCAGGCCATTCCCCGCCACAGCTCAGGACTTGACACCTAAAGCTCCTGAGCGACCCCCACCACACCGGAATAAGGCCTGTTGAATGCCTTCCTGAAGGCCCAATTTAAACAGATCACACCTTACATCCGAAAATGTACCCCATCCCACCTGGAGTACCCAGGGAGCTTTCCTCCCAATTCGTTGTGTCTCACTGTTACACCGCCCCCACATCTGATAAATACCGCCATCAATTTTTTATTAAGTCGTCCTCGACACCGAGCTACCACGGCCGGGTACGTAGTATGTCTCCAATGTAACCAAGGAACCATCTCGGACCGCACCACCACCACACCCGTGGCCAGCTACCATAGCTGGTCCACCTCCCTCTGCCTCCACCTGATCAATTCCTTTTCCAGGACCATGCCAATATCCAGAATGTCCTGGACAGTACCCCTTGTTACCTCCCGGAAAAATTTCTCCCCTAATGTCTTGCCACCAAAATCCCCGAAAAACAAAACCACTCCTGCTCCACCAATTTCAAAGGAAAGCCCAGTTACGTTTGAACTGAAACGCGGCTCCCATCTGTGCCCCTTAGATATAAGAATGACCCTTCAACCATGTCACCAAACCTGAAACGAAAGTAATTAGCGACAAGCCATAGCCATTAAACCAAATAGACTGGCCTGAAACAGGACTTAGACCGTACTGACTCCCACCTGCCTAAACGTTTCCTTAGGTCCTCACTTAAAACCAGGTGGGGTGCCTCTGTTACCGCCATCACCTGGGAAGAATGGGTCCCCAAGTGCCCGGGATCCAAACCCAACATTGTCAAACCCCTTCGAACAAACACCTGCGGGAATTGAATCGTGACGGCACCGATCTGTCCCCTTTTACCAGTAAGCCACCCGGGATGTCCGGGCAAAGCTCCAAGTAGCATGATGCGCTTAACACCGGGCGTACCCCTGACCCCGGCAGGGAATATAGCTTTACCAAACCTCCTTTACCAGACACATTCGTTCTTGAACAACCCTACTGAATCGTTACCTTAACCGACTAAGGTTAGACAACCGAGTGTAGAACTCCCCAACACCTGCCCGAAGGCACTCACCAGTTCCCCAATCCAAATTGCCCCAAGCCTCCGAGAAGGCCACCGCAAGCAAACTCACTGCAAAAGTAGAGTAATACACCACCAGGCGTTGCGTTACCCAAGGAAACCCGCCGCCCGGCACCGACATATTTCATACCTCTCCGTAAGACCTGCGATGCCTGACGGACGTGACAACGTTCCGTCACTTGCTCCCAATCAGTCAGTTTAAACCCTAAGGACAATGCCACCATGCTCCTGTCCCTTGCTGATGGAGCTAACGCTGAACGAACAAACGGCTTAGGAACCACAGCAAGGTATCCCTTCGACCCTCCTTTGACTGGGCCCCCACAGTGAAACCAACCGCCTTGTCCCACATATCTCAAACGTTCACATAGGCAGTCCCTGTGCCCGGTGCCATAGGATTCTGTATCGATCCTCCAAGCATGGCGTCTCGAGCTACCACATTTCCTCCAGACTGGACAGTCCCTCCTCCCGCGCCCCCTGGGGCCGCCATTCGCAGCTTGTCCCCTTGTGCGCGAGCCAAGTAACCAGCCCCTACCTTCCGCCAACCAGGCACGTGGCGTGCCTGCACCCGATACCTGAACAGTGATACGAATCGCCGTCATCGGCGTACCTCCTGAACCGAGGACCCGGCTGGATGGTAAACCACATGAACCCTGCCGTATTGTGCGTGAATTATGACTTTTCATCCCTTAATCCTTCACCTTTTAGAGCCACAGCCACTCCCAATGGAAATAACTAAAAAGATGCCAACTTCGAATAAGAGGACTTATCTTTCATGCCTCCCACCACCGCTCTACGCACCACCTGCCTTCCAGGTATGCCCCGGAATCTATGTTCCCAGAGGTATCTGTGAACAACTCGATACCACCCGCAAAGGCTCCACAAGTAGCCTTCGCCATGAAATGGCTACCAACCCAGTCCTCGCGACTAACCCGACATGCAACTTGAAACTGCCTTATGAACAACTGCGATTTCTCAGTGACCTTCTTGGACCTGCGAACCTTCAGCCTGAACTCCCGAAGTGCAGTCAACTGAACCCCAGGCAATCGACACTCTCCTACCACCTAAACAATTTCCAGCCCAAGCAAAGATGTGCGGTAGGATTCCTGTGACCGTAAGGTATGTCCACAACGGCCCGGCCCAGCCGAGCCCACACAGCAAGCTATCTTACAGATAATGTACTAAGGAACCCCTTTCTGATTCCTTTTTCACCTCCCACTCCCAGTAGTAGAGGTTACCAATAGGAACCTGCAAATATGCAACCCAAAAGATGGAAGGGTCGCCAATAATCGAACGCGTCCTGTTCCCCCAAACCAACTCGATGGCAAGGCCGAATGATGCCAACGATACAGAACAGTTCCGCGGCGATGTCCTCATTTACCGATGCCCCTTTTGGGTGCGATAAGTTTTGTATTGGACAGAATTTGCCCGCCCATTTCTAGGGGACCACCCCCCATGGAGACACCCACAGGTCCGCTAATGGCGCGGAAGTTCCCCCATGGACTTGATATACGCCCACCACTTTTCCTGGTCCCCCGACTTTGAATGGAATAGCGTAAACCCCCTCAACAATCTCAGCCATAAAACTAGCGCATTCATGGGAGGCTTACTGCCTTAGCCACAGCAGCACTGATCATCACTGGTGCCGCTCCGAGCCGCAACCGCGGGGCTGAAGCCCTGCCGAGTACCCTTCCTGCCTTAGGTTTTCCTTTTTTGACGCATCAGTTGACACCGTGACTCCCACCGCCTCTGGAACACCCATATCGAAGCCTACCCGACGGTCCCCAGTTGCACTGACCTTTCTTCTGTCCCGCCAGCACAGCACCTCCTGGGGGTGCGCCGTCAGCCCCCGGAAAGAGCGCATTTCCTGCACTATCATTAGGAAGAAGGACACGTGCCCATTTTGTTGTGCCACGCCTGGAATATTGCCACACATCTAACTGTTCTCCTGCCCCGTCAGATGTCCCCGGTACCGGTACACCGTATTCCCCTTCCCTTACCCGGCACGCCGTCACCACCACCCTTACTTCGGCCTCCCGACTGCGCTCTGGTGACCCCACCCTTCGGCACCGCGGGGACGGACCCTTTTTTCCTTGATCATGACTCTAAAATGATTTATGCAATTTTTAAAAAAAGTGTGGTGTGTTTTTTGACTCACCGCCCGAACCCCCGTTTGCGCTGTCCTTCCATCCACCTTGCCAGGCTCTGGAGTATCCGGTGGATGCCGACTCCTGTCCGCACTGGTCCAGCCTCAAGCCCGTAGAAGTAACACTCCTCGACCTGCTTCTCCATCCCTCATCCGACCTCCCGCTGCTGCTGTGCCTGTCATTGTCGTTGCGCTACTCCCTGCCGTACTCACACCTGCTGATGCTTCTCCTGTGTTCCTGCTCCTGAGAACGCCCCCCCAGGGGGCTCCCGCTTGCCTCTGTGCCTTACGTCCATTTCCACCCGTCCATGTCCTCTCTTCTGCCCTCTGCTTGCAGTACCTGGCCTCTCCCAGGCCGCCTCATCCACTTGTGGCCCCTTTAATTAATCCTGGTTGCTGGCCTTCCCCTCCATAGCTGCTCTGCTGTGCCTGTGAAGACTCCGCCTGCTGCTTTCACTATCCCCTTCCTTCACCTCAGACCCTCCATCTGTGTCCCGCCGACCTGGACCCCCCCGCCTGCCCATTGGGGGGGGGGACCGCTTTTACACTGCTGGGCCCTTGCATCATTCCCCCTGTCACTCAGGTATGCCACCAGGGGCAGACTCACCAGGACGCCTCTTGCCGTTCTCCCTGCCTGGCGGCCATCATGTCATGCTGGATTCCGCTGTCCTTTGTGCTTTCCCGCCCCCCCGCCTTATTGCAGGGGGCGCTCTTCCTGTGCGGCCTCATCCTGACCTGCCGTCTTGCCTGACCGGCGCCGCGTCGAACATACGGCGCCAGCCGCCCTCCAACTCCTGCCTGCTTTCCGACCTCATTTTCAGCCTTCCCCTTGCCGCCTCCTGACAGGCTCACGGGCTGCCGAACTAACGATGTCACTCACAGGCTGCCGCTGGGGCGTCCTCGCTCTCCTTGCTGGCCTCTGTTCCACCGCCGCGTGGGGGGGGGTAGCAGACGTGCTCGGGGCCCCCCAGCTGCTCCTGCAGCCACCAGCCCCGATTCTGCCACAACCTTTGTGACCAGGATGGTGGCTTGCTTGAAGTTCTGTCTGAGGCTGATGGGAGTGAGCATGCAGCAGCAGCAGCTCACTCCAGCCTCTCCTGTACCTCCATGCTGCCTCTGTTCTTCTATGCTGCCTCCATGCTGCTGATGGGAGTGATCATGTAGTAGCAGCTCACTCCAGCCTCTCCTATATCTCCATGCTGCCTCCTGTCTCAGTACTGCCTGTTCTTCTATGCTGCCTCCATGCTGCTGATGGGAGTGAGCATGCAGCAGCAGCAGCTCACTCCAGCCTCTCCTGTACCTCCATGCTGCCTCCTGTCTCAGTACTGCCTGTTCTTCTATGCTGCCTCCATGCTGCTGATGGGAGTGATCATGTAGTAGCAGCTCACTCCAGCCTCTCCTGTATCTCCATGCTGTCTCCTGTCTCAGTACTGCCTGTTCTTCTATGCTGCCTCCATGCTGCTGATGGGAGTGATCATGTAGTAGCAGCTCACTCCAGCCTCTCCTGTATCTCCATGCTGTCTCCTGTCTCAGTACTGCCTGTTCTTCATGCTGCTGATGGGAGTGAGCATGCAGTAGTAGCAGCTCACTCCAGCCTCTCCTGTACCTCCATGCTGCCTCCTGTCTCAGTACTGCCTGTTCTCCATGCTGCTGATGGGAGTGATCATGTAGTAGCAGCTCACTCCAGCCTCTCCTGTACCTCCATGCTGCCTCCTGTCTCAGTACTGCCTGTTCTTCTATGCTGCCTCCATGCTGAGTGGGAGTGAGCATGCAGCAGCAGCAGCTCACTCCAGCCTCTCCTGTATCTCCATGCTGTCTCCTGTCTCAGTACTGCCTGTTCTTCTATGCTGCCTCCATGCTGCAGATGGGAGTGAGCATGCAGTAGCAGCAGCAGCTCACTCCAGCCTCTCCTGTACCTCCATGCTGTCTCCTGTCTCAGTACTGCCTGTTCTCCATGCTGCTGATGGGAGTGATCATGTAGTAGCAGCTCACTCCAGCCTCTCCTGTACCTCCATGCTGTCTCCTGTCTCAGTACTGCCTGTTCTCCATGCTGCTGATGGGAGTGAGCATGCAGTAGCAGCAGCTCACTCCAGCCTCTCCTGTACCTCCATGCTGTCTCCTGTCTCAGTACTGCCTGTTCTCCATGCTGCTGATGGGAGTGATCATGTAGTAGCAGCTCACTTCAGCCTCTCCTATATCTCCATGCTGCCTCCTGTCTCAGTACTGCCTGTTCTTCTATGCTGCCTCCATGCTGCTGATGGGAGTGAGCATGCAGCAGCAGCAGCTCACTCCAGCCTCTCCTGTACCTCCATGCTGCCTCCTGTCTCAGTACTGCCTGTTCTTCATGCTGCCTCCATGCTGCCTGTTCTTCATGCTGCCTCCATGCTGCTGATGGGAGTGATCATGTAGTAGCAGCTCACTCCAGCCTCTCCTGTACCTCCATGCTGTCTCCTGTCTCAGTACTGCCTGTTCTCCATGCTGCTGATGGGAGTGATCATGTAGTAGCAGCTCACTTCAGCCTCTCCTATATCTCCATGCTGCCTGTTCTTCGTGCTGCCTGTTCTGCTATGCTGCCTCCATGCTGCTGCCTTCTCCCTCCAGGGCAGGCAGCTTTCACAACTGACAGGTAAGCTTAGGTTCAGTTAAAATGGCCACTTCCTATAATGGCTGGTATAAATACTCCCCTTATGGCTCCGTCCTACCCAGCATGCTGGCTGTCACTAAATTCCTGTGGCTGCTATGCCTACCTCCTGGCTCTGTCAAGGCCTATTCCTCTTAGCTGCGCTGATCCATGGGCTACATTACTGTCAGGATCACATCAATTTACGTCTATTACCTTTACCTCGTTTAGTGTATCTTGTCTCCAATTGTCTCCTTTTTTCTCTTACAGCGACCCTTGTGCATCTTTTACTTCATCCCTGTCCCTGTGTGTTTCTTTTTACCCTTCTCCAGCCTCTGTATTTCTCTTTCCCCCAGCCCCTTTTGTGTTGTTCTTAGCCCCAGCCACTTTGTCTCTTTCTCCCCTTCCAAATCTCATCTGTGTGTCTCTTTCTAACTCCAGACTCTGTGCCTTTCTCTTCTCCCAGTCACTCTCTGTCTCTTTTTCCCCAGCCCAGCATCGCCTCCCACAAATCTTGTGTCACTTTGTTCCCCTTCCCTACTGTATGTCTCTTTGTCCCCCCAACAAACCTTCTGTGTGTCTCTTTCTCCCCTCTCCTCCCTGTGTCTCTCTTCCCCATCTTCTCCCTGTGTCTCTCTTCCCCATCTCCTCCCTGTGTCTCTTTTACCCCTCTGTCTCTTTGTACCCCCATCCTCTGTCTCTCTATTACCCCTCTGTCTCTTTGTCCTCTTCCCTGTGTTCTATTCTCTCTGTCTCTTTGTCCTCTCTTACCTGGTGTCTCTATTACCCCTCTGTCTCTGTGTCTCTTTCTCCATGGGTTCCCTCTTTATTACTCCTCTCTTTGTCCCCAACCCCGGCGTCTCTATTACTCCTTCTGTCTCTTTGTCCCACCCTTCCCTGGTGTCTCTATTACCCTCTCTTTGTCCCCCATCCCTCTGTCTCTATTACCCTCTTGCCCTATGTCTCTTATTACCCCTCTGTCAAGCCGCCCCCCAACTCAAGCGTCTCTATTACCCCCCTCAGTCTCCGCGGTCCCCTTGCCCTGTGTGTTTCTATTACCCTCTATTTGCCCCTTCACCTCTTTTGTCCCTCCCTTACCCCTCTGTCCTCCTACCCCTTTCCCCCTTCCCCTATTTGTGTGTGTGCCTGCTGACCTTGTCACAGGAGGACTGAGGGAGGGGACGGAGCTAACTACCACGCTCCCACGCGGTTCCCATAATTCCCAGCATGGACAATTCATAGAGTAGTGATTACTCCATGATGTGTAGATGTTGGGAATCATGGGAACCGCGTGGGAGCATGGTAATTAGCTCCGTCCCCTCCCTCAGTCCTCCTGTGCTGACAGCTATGCTGCTGTCAGTATCAGTGAGTGTGCCGCCAGATCGCTTAGGCGGCCGCCCGGCACACTCACTGATACTGACAGCAGCATAGCTGCCAGCACAGGAGATGGGGCCGCCGGCCGCAAGGTGAGTAAACACCTCAGAGTGTGCCGCCGGACCGGCCACCCCGCGGGACCGACATGCGGCCGCGATATTATTAAAATATAGGGAGCAGGGCTCCCTCACTCTCTCCAGCCCCCCAGGTGCCGCAGCCCACCGGGAAATTTCCCGGTATCCCGGTGGGCCAGTCCGGCCCTGTCAGTAATACATAAAGGAGTACTATATTTCACGAATACCAGATGTCTCTGTCTAATGCAAAAAAACAAGTGTCACAAATAATAGTTTTTTTTTATGTTTGCTTTTTTTACGGAAAATTAATAGTCTACTAATAAAAACAGCTTTGCCATGAAAAGCGTTTGGGCCCTAATAAAGTGTTGGAATAAACTGTGATCTTCAATTTTAGTATTTAGTTAGAACACAGGGTGTGACAGATATTAGATTTAATACAGGAACAGGACGACCTTCTTGCATTGTTAAATGTTATGAATGGGTCACACAGCCCGTAAATCCCTTTCCCACCTGGATTGGCTGACAATTTAAATGGGCAATCACCTTCTGAGATACGTCCTGCATTTTAATGTAAGACATGTTTTTTTTTTTTAAACGTATGGACTTGTGATATCAATTTTAGTATATATACTGTATACTCGAGTATAAGTCGAATTTTTCAGCACATTTTTTGTGCTGAAAAACCCCCACTCAACTTATACTCGAGTTAATGTCTGTATTACGGCAACTTACATTGCCATAATACAGACCAGGACCGTCGGGCTCATTACAAGCCCAGCGGTCCTGTTGGGGGCTGGCAGTGAGCTGTAACTTACCTTTCCTGCAGCTCCTGTCAACTCCCTTCTCTCTCCTCCGTTCCAGTCAGCTGCTCTGTCAGCTCCCACTGTAAATCTCACGAGAGCCACGGGAACGCTCCACGTGGCCACGAGACTTACAGTGGAGGAGAAGGGAGCTGACTGGAACGGAGGAGAGGGAAGGGAGCTGACAGGAGCTGCAGGAAAGGTAAGTAACAGCTCTCTGCCAGCCCCCCTCCTACACAGCCCATCCACTGGACTACCAGGGAATGTGAGCACCCATCCCTGGCCAGCTAACAAGCAGGGAGGGGGGACGAAAATAAATATAAATAAAAAATTAAATAATATTAAAATTAAAAAAAAAATTATATATATATATATCTATATATATCTATATATATAGATATATATATAAAAAAAAATAATAATTTTTAAAAATAATAAAAATGCCCACCCCCCCACCAAGGCTCTACATCACATACACACATTGCACTCATATATACACACACACACACACACACACTGCAGTCATATACACACACACACACTGCATTCATACAAACACACTACATTCATTATATACACACACTGTAAATAAATATTCAATTAATATAATTTTTTGGGGATCTAATTTTATTTAGAAATTTACCAGTAGCTGGAGGTCATGACAGTAGGACCAGGAGATCTATCCAAAAGATCATGACACTGGGTTCAGTAGATATCTCTTAAAGATCATGACAGTTGATCCAGGAGATCTCTCCAGACACTGTGTCCAGGAGACCTCTCCAGAAGATAATAACAATGCTTCCAGGAGATCTGTCCAGAAGATCTCTCCAGAATGCTATGACAGTGGTTCTAGGAGATCTGTCCAAAATATTTTGACAGTGGTTCCAGGACATTTTCCAAAAGTCCGTGTCAGTGCAGAGAACGTCATATGCGGATCAGACAGTTGGTAGTTGCAGGAGTGTTATGATAACTAAGCTTCATTCTGTAAAGCGTGAAAGAGAGAAATGTTACCTCATTATGAAACCAAGGGTATTCCAAACAGATCAATCATCTTTTATTGTTACAGAAGGGTTATTCACTAAATAGCAAGCTGCGATTACTTGACAAATTAATTTTTTTTAGATAAACACTAACAGTGATGTAGAATTATATTAACTGGATAAATAATCCCACTCTGCTACTTTTGGCCTAAATATTACTAGTCATTGTACAGCTCAGTACGACTCGCTGTTTAAAGTAACACTTTAACATTTTTCTAATAATTGGAATCAGTCTCCATAGTTACTGATATTGTCGATAATATACTTACCTTCACAACATGGCTTCTTCTGCGTCCAGCCGCCAGCCAATGTGGCCAGCCAAAGGGATGTAACAAGGTTAGTTTATAAAAGTGGCAATTTCTATAGAAGTCTGCACTTCTTGCAAAATGGAAGAAAAAAAATAGAACACCCTCATCTATACTCAAGAACTGGATCATTAAGCTAAGGTTGTTTTTGTGACTAATAATAATATTTAATTTCAGGCAATGGAAACAATGCACAAATTGCACATAGATTAAAACTTTAAAGCAGAATTAGCAATGAAATATGTATTGATATAAATTAATATATCAATGCATAATTCATTGATCAATCTGCTAAATTCTATTCTATGCAGATCAAGTGTGTGCAGTGTTACCTTTGCCTATTTTTTATTTTTTTATTTAAAAAAAGTGTGGTTCAATTATCAGTTATCTGCAATCTGCACAAAAGGCAACCGATAATTGGTATTGGTATTAGCTCTGAAAAAATGATAGTCAATCTCTAGATACCTTTATTACTAACACTTCAGTGGCCTCCCTCCCCAGCGTGTGCAATAAAAATAATCAAATAAAAGTGATGCTCACCTCTCTGTTTCCCGTGACATCATGGTGAAGGCATTGTCTTTCGGTGTGGTCTAATCAATGGTTCTCATAGAGGTGTATTGGAGAGCTAATGTGCATGTGCTGGGCATGCATGGAACCTTAGCCATAGGAAAGTATTGAATCAATGGATTCATATGTGGGATTCTGCCTCAGTACGACAACCACTAGAGGTGGTTTAAACCCTGTGACAGAACACCTTGTCACTTATTAAACTTTCCATTTCAGTTATTACCATGGTTGTTCGGTTACCAAACGAAAACCCGTTTTACTGCATGGAACTGAAATCGGACACACTACCTCTCGAACACCGCTGAATTTGTACCGCCGTCTGCTCCCCCTCCCCCAATAAGCCATGAGAGCACTTTTCGGGAAAATTACTTTTACAAACAAGAGGAACATTCGTTCCCACAAGCCAGAGGAATAATTTAGTTTTATGAGCACAGGAACTCCCGAAAGTGGACTGGCCACAGTCTATTTCATCATGGAACTGTGTTGGGCTACAACCTCGTGGTCGACAGGTCAAAAATGTACCCGGATGGAGATTCCGTCCCATTAAACAGTTCCGAGTGCTATTTGGACAACTTGGGCGCTCGAATCCGGGCTATCTGGGGATATAAGACTTGTGAGGTTCATGTGGAAATTGAATATGGTTTTGGGGTATTTTCTGTGTCTTGGTCTTTGACTTGGTCTTTGACTCAATTATCTCTCAGACACAGGGATAACTGGGAAGGGTTTGTATTTCTTTGTATGGAGACCCCATGCTGCGGGTTTGTGTATATATTAAGTGTATCTTGCCTTGAATAAACCAGTCAACTCCCAATATTAAGTCTCGCTAATGTCTGGGGGGGAAAGCTATATCAGTCTATCCTGCTATAATCACTGAAGACGGAGCTGACTGAGATCCTGGGAAGGGGAAACAACATTCTTGGCGGCGAGACTCGTGGGACACTTGAGTGGCCGCCACAAACCCAGCAATGTAAGCATTGCCATTTCTAAAAAAACACGCATTGTTTTACATTTGAGAGTTAAAATGACAGGAATACTGCACCCAAGCCACGTCATTGAACTGAGATGGCCTGGGTGACTTTAGTGGTCCTTTAATGAACATAATGTATACAGACACAAATTTACATGGTGATTGCTCAAAATTTACCATTTTGTGCCAGAATTATCCCACTTTTGTCTTTTTAGATATTGCCCATAGCATTCAGATACCAGTTAATTATTCCTGGTTTTGCTCATAGAAGTGCAAGAAAGAGCAATAATTGTAAAAACAAAAAAGTGTGATAGAAACAAAAGATCCAAGGCCCTAGTTATAGTCCCATCCTGTAAATGCTATATTTGAAGCACAGAATAAACTAACGTCCACAATTGTCTCAACAGCTCGTTGAGCTCTCGCTGCCCATTGGTGGAATGGGGATCCTACAACTTGTGCCAAAATGGAATTAACAATTGATGATTATTTAATAATGGACACATTAACTGCTCTGTTTCAGCCCAATAAGTCTTGTTTTCATAAAGTGTAGGTCCATGGCTGGCGTATACATACATTTTATAACTCGTCACCAGATAGGTAACATAGGCCTTGACTTAATATTTTTAGATTAACTTTTCAAAAAAGTCACCATTAAAAGTCTACAGGAATGTTTGCAGACAAATAATTTGAAAAGTAAATCCGAAAATATTAAATCAAGACCATATTTTTTTTTTTTCCTTCCCTGTTTCTTTAGAGGGACACTCCAGTGCCAGAAAAACAAATTGTTTTCCTGGCACTGCAGGTCCCCTCTTTGTTGTGGGAGGGAGCGGCGGCCACCTTAAACTCCTGAACAGCGGTGTTTTGCCATCGAGTGTCTGGAACTAAAATCGGACACTCGACTAGGCAAACACCCTTGAGACCTCCAGACTTCCATAAATTCGTGCCGAAACTAAAGACTAAGTTAATCATGGGGATTGATACAAATGCCAGGATCCCCACGGATGGCAAGCCGTTCAGGACCTTTTATTACACGAACAGAGACCGACCGCAAGGCCAAAACTTATGGAACTGTTTTCGGCTACTGTGCCTGTGCGGTCTGTCAAACCTTTAAACCCCCATAACTCCCGAACCCCTGGCCCGATCTTGGTGATTTTTAAATATGTTGCTCACCCAGATTAGGGCTATCAGGGGATACCGGATTTATGAGGGTACCCCAGATATTTGGGGTACATCCAAAATTCGGGGAAAAATGTGTTCTTGTTAATTGTGTTAAATGCTTATCTAAGGGATCTACTGCTCCAGGGATCCAACTGATGGGACTTCGCCTCCTCACTTCAGCCAAGCACCTGGCCCGGAGAAAGGACATCCCCAACAGCAAATACCCCTCTCCACTCTGGGTGGCCGTTACACCACCCTTCTTTGTACGCTAGTACTCTATGCACCCTATTGTATGTCCATACATACTATAATGAGTTTTACTCAGTCAGAGCCGCGTAAACGCCTCTAATAGCTGTATCAAAGCCACTAGAGGTGGAGTTAACCCTGCAATGTAAAACATGCACTTTCTGAAAAACAGGATTAAATGACTGCACCCAGACCGTTACATGGAGATGAAGTGGCCAGTTTGAGTGGTCAGTGTGAATACTGCCATCTACTGACACATACAGAGAATGCAAATAACAACTAACCAGTATAACTAACCCACTCACAGCATTCTCAGTCCATCAATGTCATCTAGGTGGGATGAAACTGACAGCCATTATACAGAAGTGTAAGTTCAACGTTATCATTGCACTGGGGTTTTTCACAACAATTTA